AAACATTAGTTTTTTAGTGTATAAATATACATACATATATACATATATATATACATACATACATATATATATATATATATATATATATATATATATATATATAAGAAAAAAAACATGGGAATATTAGAAAATGACACAGCGATCTTCAAAAGATTCACGGATTACTCAACACAATAAAGAGACTACTTAAATCAATAATCACAACAAACTCGACAGCATCCAGAACTCAGATCACAAAACTTGCTCACAGTCACGGATTTTGTGGTTTAATTTCTACTTAATCAAGTATCATATCATCGTCATCGTCATGATAATGAGAGCAATTAAGCATGGCAAGTAAGAAAAAAAAAACAGAGAAAGAGGAAAAAAAGGTACCTGGAAGTGGGAGGAGGTGAGGGGGATTTGGAGGTCCAGATCCTGTTGGCGACGCGCTTCCCCAAGGCGGTGATCCCTCGGCTACTCGAATTGGCGGCCATACAATGAGAAGAACAGAGAGAAAGAAAAAGAGAAAGAGAAGGGTGTGTGCAGTTGTAGCTTGAGCTTGGTTTGTATGTTTGATGTGGTGGTTGAGGATGCATATATTTATACACAAAATTAAATTAAATAATAATAATAATAAGGTAGACACAAACAACACAAGAAAGATGGTGCCAATGCCGCTTCAATTTTCGTACCTAACACGTACGCATAACGTAACAGTCTTCCTTAACCCCGTTCGTTCCTTTCCACGCCGTTACTATTTTAGATACCATCACACTTACTATTTTAAAAAAACATTATCAAAAGAATATATTATTATATGCTTTTCTCTCTTAAAATAATTAACCTCTAACTTTTATTTTTCTTAGGTTGTTTTTCGAAAAAATTATTATTTGAATTAAAAAATGTACACACACGTCATAGCATACTTGTCATAGCATACTTGTAATTATAAAGGTTAAATATGTTTTTAGTCCCTAAACTATTGGTCGTTTCTGGTTTTCGTCCCTCTTTCAAAATAAGGTACAATTTGGTACTCATTCTTTTCGAAACTTTCGTTTTAGTCTTCGAAAACTAAACACTGTTTAAAAATTTGGTCCTCATTTAGCAACAAATGAGGACTAAAACCAAAATTCCGAGGACTAAAACGAACGTTTCGAAAAGNATATATATATATATATATATATATATATATATATATATAATTTTAAAATAAATATACCGAACCATAATTGAAACTAACCCTAATTAAGCAATTCAAGTGTGTTAAACTCTGAGTCAATTGTTATTGCATGTGTTAAATTCCATTTTTTTTTTCCTTTTTTTTTATGGATCGTGCATGTGAATAATAACAAATTAAAATGTTCTTAATGCATGATAAAATAATACTTCCAGCTGTTAAAAATAAAATAACGCTTCCAAAAAAACACGTGACTATTTCATGAACTCATGAATAATTACTTGTAATTATTATATGGATATATATTTTTATGAAAAATAAAAGGAAACACCTATAATAATGCATTCCGATGAAAGTGGTGTCTTTGATTAAATTTAAGAGGATTTTAGTCAAATTATTTTAAAATTAAATAAATATAAATGTGTTGTGTTCCTCCTTTTTTTTAATTTAAATTATTACAAGTTTTAATTTCAAACTTAAAATACTTATAGAATTAATCAAACATTGTTTATTTGGTCAAACATTGTCAAAATACATATAAAATAAATTAACATAAATTGTTAAAAATAATTTACACATCTGCACGTTGCACTCGTGACATTTATTTTATTTGTTAAGTGGTTCAAAGAACTACTGTTGTTGCTCTTACAGTTATCATGTTTTATAAAAAGTATAATATTTCTAGATAGAAATTTACAACCATAAAATACCGAATTTTGAAAAATAACTCACGTGTTTGTAATTTCAATACGTAAAAAGGTACATATATTTTAATATTGAAAGCATCACACTCACCATAAATAGAAAATTCAAATTATATCTATAATTTCATCAGTGACATTGCTAACTCCAAATAGAGAAAAAAGATGTTAAAAGAATTGAGTGTTAAGCATGTTTTTAATGAGAAATTTAAATTTGTTGCTGTTGAAATCTTTGATATATTTTTGTTTTTAAAATTTAAGGATAAATGAATATAGTATTTTTTAATTTATATGTTTTATATTAACATTTAATGTGTTTATATTATTACGTGTTCTCGATCGTCTCTGTTTATTAGAAAATATATTTTAAAATTTTGAAAACTAAAATATAACAAAAAATTTCAAACAAAATCAGATTTCAATTTTATATCATGATTAAAAAATTACAAATATATTTAACAAAAAAAATTACACATCTTTTTAATAGTTCAACTTTCTTAACAGTATACAAATTAAATTAAAAATAATAAACAAATTAAATGAATATAATAATATATTTAAAAATAATTCAGACAAGACACTTGTGTAATTATATATATATATATATA